ATTCACAGTGCCCAGTTCCTCTCCGGTAAGCCAACAATCAAGTTTTCTACAGAAAATTTCTGTACAGGATTGAAGGTCAGTCTTCATCTCCTTCGATTTGTTGTCTTACTTTATATGCTAAAATTAACACATTTATAATTATATAGTTTTTGAATCAACTAAAGTTAAACTTTTCAGGGATTATGTTGAAATCTTAAATTTTTATATATTCGAACTTGGTATTGTCAATGTTGAATGTTGGATGTCTAGATATCTTATACATGTGTGTTTGCTCATTCTTAAATGGAAAATGATGATTCACTATGAGCTTGTAATTAAGTTGAGTAAAATGAAGAAATTAGTGCGCAGATGAGCCCAAAGTATTGCTAGGACCATTCCAAAGTTTAGGCTGATTGCAATGGAGGGGGTGAAAACCCCAAATGTAAAGTTTTCACCCCAAAATAGCTACAACCCAAACACTTTTTAGTATAGTGGGGTCTCATCCCTAATAGGGAGAACAGATGGGAGGGTTTTTTGGCCAGTTGATTGACTCTCCACTAGAGCTGAATATGCGCAGGTGGGCTGACATATGCATGAAGAAAGGAATGGTCCACATTGCAGGTAAGGAAAAATAAATGGCCTCCATACAAATTAAAAATCCCACTTATTAAAAAAATAGCATAACTTTTTTATTTATGATTCAATGTTTTTAGAAAATATATCAAAATTCATAATTTTTTATGATCTTTCATATGACACCAATATCATATATATATATAATTAAAAAAATATGAAGTTTCATCTGATTGAAATCGAAAGGCTAATTTTTTTACTTAAGTAGTTCCAAATGTTAAAATCAAAATCTCATGAATAATATTTTTTACATCTTTTGGTTATGTTTTACAAAGTAGGTTTGAAACTACAAAAAAATTAACCTCAAAATTTATTTATTTTTACATCAGAATGTTTGATTTTTTAAATTATAATTATTTGCAAAAAGAAAATCGATAAGTTTTTGTTATAATAATTAAAAAAAAAAGGATTTAATTAGAGATACAATGTGCTGAGTGAATATATTGACGGTGTTGGGTTGCTGGGAAAAACTTGATTGATTGGATGAATACGTATAAACTGGAGGGAAATTAGATTTATTGACGGGATGGGTTGCGGTTAGCCTTACAACGGGTAAAATGTATATGGGTTTCAGATATTTATGTCCGGTCCTAGTGTTTTCTTTTAACCGACCGAAATAAAAAAAAAACGAATTGAACCCGAAAAATTTCCTAACCCCACATCACGATCTCGGTGTTTGTGTCTGAATCTTACGAAGTTCTCCCTCTATCCCGAAAAGATTCATCAGACTTTCACGTGGATTAATAAAGTAAAAACTTTGTGGTTAAAATTTGTGCAAAGGGAAGAGATTTAACTTTAGCCACATATTGTTTACTTTAAATAGAAATGACAAATCTTTTTGGGACATTCACAAATGGAAATTTGGCAAATCTTTTCGAGATGGAGGGAGTATTTACTAATTTCAAAGTCGGTCTTTCAAATGTATTTGTATTTTGTGATGTAAATTTAAACAATGGTGATCTTACTAATTGCTATTATGCAATCCTTTTTCTTCCTGAAGAATCAAGATAACTAGGAGCCCGTTTGGTAATAGCCATATCGGTTGTATTGGTTGATTCTGATGAAATTTATGAAGTTCTAGCTGGTGTTGTTGTATTGGTTGATTCTGCTGATTTGTGAAAAATAATAATTTAAAATACATTTTATTAATAAAATAAAGAAAAAATTATATGAAAAAATAGCTAAAATGATCATTTACACTAACTTCAACTAACACAGCCAGAAAAGTAACTCCAACCCGTAAAACCAAAAGTTACGTGTTTGTTGAAAAAGTTGACTTATAAGTCTGAAAAGACAAAAATCATAGCTACCAAATGGGCACTAGAAAAAGTTATCACTACGGCAGTACATATCGGAAATTATAAGCAAAATAGTCGAATAAGTCCTTCAGAATTCATCACTTCAACCCCTATTTAATTATTATGAAAAAATCAGTTAAAGGTTGGATTATTAGTGTCCTCTTTTTCCTTTTTTGAATGGTTAATATTTTGGTATTTTCTAGAAAGCATTATTTTCTATGTACGCCTTAAATAGGGATGGCCCCGGGCCGGTTCGGGCCTAGGCCCGGCCGGGCCTCAGGTCTGTTTTGTTGGGCCCGAGCCCGAACCGGTGGCCACCGGTTCCGGGTCCGGTTCCGGGCCACCCGGTTAGTTTTTTTTTTCTTTTCTTCCCCCCCCCCCCCTCACCCCCAAACCCCCCAAACCGGTCCTAAACATCAAGCCCAACTCAATAAAGCCCCAAAAAATGAAAAAAAAAAAAACAGTTTTTGGCCCGGGCCCGACCCGGCCGGGCCGGTTCGCCAAATACAAGGCCCGAGCCCGGACCCGCCCCCCCACCGGGCCTAGGCCCGACCCGAACCCGGACCCGAGAACCGGGCCGGTTCCGGGCCCGCACAGTGGCGGGCCGGGCCGGGCCGGTCCCGGTACGGGCGGCCCGAACCGGGTCCATGCCTAGCCTTAAAGAATGTTTAACCAAGGATTGAACATCTAGAAAATACAAAGTACGCCTTAAAAACATAGGAATTCTGTGATTGGGTTTACAAAGTGGAACGGAAGCAATTAGGGGTGGGTTCGGTTCTTGCGGTTCGGTTTTGACCTAAAACCAAATATAGAATCAAAGTAAAAAGTTCGGTTCGATTTCGGTTCGGTTTTACACTCCAAAACTTGGAACCACGGTTTGATTGGTTCGGTTTGTTTCGGTTCGGTTTCGGTTTTTTCGGTTTTTTACCAAAAAATTATCACTTGATTCAAAATTGATATAATACTTAGAGGGATCTAACATATTACATAAAGAATGCAAGCACAATACAACGACAAATAAAATAAAAATGAGAAGAGATAAATATGTCTTGAATTATATGAGTATGCGAGATAGATAAAACTGTATATATTATAGATTTAATTTGTTTGTGAGTAGTTCGAAAAAAGTTCATGAATATATACATTATATACTGCTATGTGATATAGTTGAGATGAATATTTATTGTTTTATCAATATAAAATCTTTAAGTTATCTAAAAAGAGTTAATTACTACTAATAACTAGTAAACACATATTATCATCATTCAATATAGCTACATTATTACAGACAATGAACGTGTAAATGAATTTATAAACTAAATTAAATTAAACATAACACAAACATTATTTCTCTAACACAAGAAACCCAAAGACTATTGATGATATTAAGATTAATTAGAATTAATGCTTCACAATTAAATTATAAATTTCATATTTTAAATAGTTCGGTTTGTTCGGTTCGGTTCGGTTTTGAAGGGTAAAAACCAAAACCGAACCAAACAACTTTGGTTCGGTTCGGTTTTTTACATTCGGTTTCGGTTTCTTAGCGGTTCGATTTTATTTGGTTGCGGTTCGATTTAATTTGATTCGGTTTTCGGTTTTCGGTTTTTCGGACCCAGCCCTAGAAGCAATATTTGCTTTGTATTCGAAAACCCAACGGACAACAACACATTACTATGTTCATTTATTTCGTTCACATTTGCCAATAAGTTATCAATTTCCTTGGGACACTAAGTTAGGTTAGCAGATTGTCAATAGAGGATTCAGTCAGCAGGTTTGACTAGTGGAATAAATTAACGATGTTTTTGACAATTTAGCTGTTTGGCCATAAAATTAGTAGAACACGCCATTTTTCAAAAATTCTCCAATTAGCAGTGTTTTCATTTCAACGTTTTCAAAAACGCTAGTATCGAATCTTTGTTTAACAAAGAATCTTTTCACTTGTTGAAAACGTTGAAAGTGATCAAATTATCATTTTTCTGTTGAAACGCCGTTTACGAAACACCATGTATTTAATTGTTCACTTTTTAAGCAATTCAATATTCATTTTGATATGATGTACTACCTCTGTCCTAAAAAACTTTGTCATTTTCAAAAACTTTAACCGACTATATCTTTTTTTTTTATTGAAAATCATTTATAATATAAAAATTACTCCTAATTGGAGAATTTTTGAAAAATGGCAGATATTTTCGAAATCATTTAAGTGTTTTCAAGATATGAAAATGTTCTTTGTTAAAAAAACTTTTATAAAAGTACAAAATTTATAACTTTTGTAATATTATACGGAGTACTAAGCAAAATTAGGGTTCGAACTTTTTCGAAATGACAAAGTTTTTAATAGTAAATCACACAGCATTGATGATGGGCTATACAATGTGAAAAACAATGTAAAGATGAAAAAATCCCTGGGTATTCCGACATATCCGTCGCTATACAATGCTTCATGTATCAACTCTTATACCCACTTTACCACCATGTTTGTGAAGTGTTTTTTTTTGTCGATGAACTCGATTCACAGACAATATTTTTATTGTGAAACATTGTCTGTGAATCGGGGTTCACAGACAAGAAAACACTTCACAAACATAGGTGGATACAAAAGTGGGTATAAGAGTGGGTACAAACGTCATTTTTGATAAATTAATTAATTAAATAGGTTGCACAGTCCTTTTGGAGAAAATGACGGAGAAGTGCAAGTTTTGTGAAACCCTTCCAAAAAGTGCAGGAAAAAGTTTGGACGACAAAAATAGGACAATAGTAAAAAAAAGGTCTTATGCTATATAAAATAATTCCTCCGTTCTTTTTAGTTGTAACAGTCAATATTTCACACTTGGCAATGTATGTCTGTGATCATAATTATATCTTAATCTCTATTAATAAAAAAATTAAAAATTGGATTTTGAAAATTCGTAATGAGATGAATTGCGCAATATTTTTTTTAAAAAAATAATTTTAATAAAATAATTGGAGTAAAAACGTTTTGAAATTCCAAAATAAGAGTATCATGTTTTTTATTCCCTGAATATGTGTAATCTGCCAAGTTTGGAAAAAATGTCATGTTTAAAGCCTTGTTATGCCGAGTTTGGCAGAACTCTCTTCCTATTCGGGAATAAAAAACATGATACTTCTATTTTGAAATTTCAAAACGTTTTTACAGGGCCGTTTAATGAATTTGGAGGCCTCGATTCTAAATGTAAAATCGGGGCCCCAAACTAATATAAAAAGTTTATTAAAAAATATCAATCCAAATACTTATATTCAAATCAATTGAGTACTTATTAAAGAGAACCAAGAGTAAAAGGACCAACGAATATAATAATGGATTTATAATTTTCTTCCTTACTAATTGTATTTTACAGTTTAGTATTAATATATAATATTACTCCTTATTATATAATACTAAAAGAAATTTAAAAATTTGGGGCCCCTAAAAAACGCCCCTGCGTTTTTACTCCTATTTGGAGAATTCTCTCAATATTTTTGTTATTTTTTCACCCATTAACCTCAAAATACATGCTAAGTTAACAATTAGAGGTGGAACCATTTGTAATGGGGCCCAAAGTTTTGAGAAAGAAGAGAATGCATACGGCTGTGGTATATTGGTAATCCCGCACCTCTATCCTTGGGTCTCTTCACGTGATTCTGACTCCATAGTCTAGTCTCATACAGAGTATAGTACTGTACTAAACAACTCATGCCATTCTTGGAAGCTTTTGCCTCCTTTTGCTCGTCTACTTCTCCCCCAAAGGTTAAACCCTGTTCCCTTGTGACCTGCCCTGTCGAAACCCCCCCAAAACTGTAAATTTATAGCGCACTTGTTTTCTATTTCGACCAGAAATGGAAGGGTTGTTCATGGTAGTGCTTCTTCCGCTCCTTTTTGGCATTCTTTCTTCTTCTTCTTCTTCCTCTGCTCGTTCCCATTCCCTTGCATCTAGCTCGCTGATTCCTCCTGACGCTTCGGTATTGTTGGACTTCAAACTCAAAGCGGACTTGCACGGGAAGAAGCTTCAAGGCTTTGTGCCAACACCACCGTTTCTTTCTGCAAATGGAACGGCGTCCGGTGCAGCGGCGACCGGGTGGTCCGTTTGGTGTGCAAAGGAATGGGTTTGGACGGCTCTTTCGCTCCGGCAACTCTAACTCGTCTCAACCAGCTCAGAGCTTAGAGCCTTCAAGAAAATTTCCTCACCGGACCTTTCCGATCTGGTTAACCTCAAGCTCCTCTTCTTGGACCATAACTTGTTCAGCGGCCTGATACCGCCTTCGATTTCCGCTCTCCATCTCTTGAAAGCCATCGATCTATCCTCCAACAACCTCACCGGAACCATACCCGCCTCCTTGGACGGCATTGGGCGGTTGTACCATCTACGCCTCGATTCCAACCGCCTCACCCGTCCCGTTCCGCCGCTCAACCAGTTTACCCTCCATATCTTCAATGTCTCGCATAACGCTCTCTCTGGTCCTATTCCGGTGACGGCGGCAGTGTCGTGCTTCAGAATGAGAGCCTTTACCTCCAAGCGGGCACTATGCGGTGAGATATTACACCGCGAATGCCATCATCCCATATTGCCCTTTTTCCCGCCATCTCCGGCCGCAGTTACCCCACCACCGCAGTCCGCGAAGTCATTAAATCAAAATATGAAGCTGCACGACGGCGGACCTTACAGCCCTGTGGGAAACAAACCAAAATCGAAAAGACCCGTTCTCATAATCGGGTTATCCTTAGGCTTCTTTATTCTAATTTGTTCCGTTATATGCTTCGCTATGGCAACAAGAAAATCAAGCAAGCCTATAGAATCTGCTCCTATACTTGCACTGGATCCGGAGGCGGTGACGAGAATGGGAGAAGAAAGCAGCGAGCTGGAAGATAAGGTGAGGAGGGTGCAAGAAGGAATGCAGGTAATGGGGAAAAGTGGAAACTTGGTATTCTCTGTGGGTGAGTCACAAATGTATACGCTGGAGCAGCTGCTGAGATTGGGTGCTCGACAACCGTTTGATTGTTTGTGTGAAGAGACTGGATTCAGGGAGGATGTCCGGGACGTGTAGGGAGAAGTTTGAACGGCACATGGGATCAGTGGCCGGCGGGTTGAGGCACCCAAATCTGGTTCCGCTCCAGGCTTATTTTGAGGCTCAGGATGAGCGGCTTGTTGACTATGATTACCACCCCAGTGGTAGCCTCTTTTCTCTCATCCATGGTACCTTCCCACAACTACTCCTTTTCAATTTTCCTTGCTTTTATGTTCTTCCATTTTGGCTGTGAGTTTAATTGCAAAAGTAAACTTTGTATAGGACTTGAAGTCTGTGTATATTGATTAGGAAAAATTGATAAAAATAATCTCACCTTTCACTGGTCTTCTTATAAGATCCCATCTTTATATAATCTCAGAATAATCCTACATTTGCACCTCATCTTCTTTCATTGGACCTCTTTTTTGAAAATCTTATATAAATAATCTCACATTTGTAGGTCTTCAATAGGTCAGAGTCCAATGAAAGAAGATGAAGTGCAAATATGAGATTATTCTTGAATTAAGTAAAAGTGGGATTATTATGAGATGATTAGTGAAAGATAATACTCCCTCCGTCCCGAAAACAACATCCCGGTTTGACTTTCACACACTTTAAAAAAATTAATTTGACTTTACTGTAGAGTGCACTGTTTAAATACTGTTTGGCACCGTTTAAACACTGTTTGGCCTGTTTAAACACTGTTTGGCACTGTTTATCACTTTTTTGATGTAGATAATTTGCCAAATAAGGAAAGTATTGAAGTGTGAAAGTTAAATTTGGGATATCCATTTAAGGAAAGTGGGAAGTTGTTTTTGGTACGGAGGGAATATTATTCTTATCAATTTTTCCTATCGATTACATAGTGGTAATGTGTGTGAATGTTGGTCAAACTTTCAACTCTTTAAGTCCTTGTTTTCCTTCAAACTTTTCAACTCTATAACAAATTGTTAAGCCCATATGAGGGCATAAATGATAAACATTTTTTGTAATTATTATGGTTATGGAGTTGACATGTGACAAGCACACTGAATGTGGACCAAACATAGAAACAGGCCATGCTTATTTGCTAACTGTGACAAAAAAGGTGGGGACCATGGCTTTAAGTTGGGGAAGTGAGTCAGGGACTCAGGGTTATATAATGTACTATTTAATACAAACATTAAATTTACCAAACTTTCACAAGTGTTACCAAAAAAAGTTATCATGTAAAAATTACCATGTACAAATTTACAACACTTTTTCCACAAGTGTTACCATGTATGTAGTAGTTGTAATATTTATTTCTATATACAATTAAGTGGTAGTTGAAAAATTATGTTAAATTATACACTTATACCACATAATTACACTTAAATAAGGCTTACCCAGAACATAATTACACTTATGCTCGTCAGTCTGGAGTGGTATGTTTGATTGTTGTGAATGAACTGGTCATAGAGCAGATGTCCCAGATCTTGAAAACCTTTCTCTATTTCAATTTTAGGACTAATTCGAGCAACAATTACGGTACGTTTTATATGCATTCCCCATACAACAATATTGTTTGGATCACTTAGATTCCCATGACCACCATTAACACGTTTATGTAAACGATTTATGGCTTCTAGTAATTCATTGAAAAAAAGGTATTCAAATTTTGTAAAATTGTAAATTTCACAGATTATAAAATTAAAATATGACTTAATTACCTTATTTGATTTTTTGTAACATCATTAGCATCCATAAAAGTCGTAGAATATGAATTATAGAAAAAGTAAGAGTAGGCTGGGGATACAAAGAAAAGCAAGGGTCTCAAGATAAATGGAAGATTAGATAATGTTTGAACGAAGTCAAACAATTGTTTCATAGCAACTGACTTGGAAGCCTCCAATTTTATCAGCACCGTCTTTCCGAAACTTCGGTTAGACAATAGTGCATCTTAACTCCATTTATGCTTCCCATATAGCTAGATTTCTTGATCCCTACTGGTTTATCCAGACTCTCTATAAGCAGTTGTCGAGGTGTAGAATTGGAAATAAGAGTAGTAGACATTTTATTTTGGTGGGAAGAGATAGAGAGAGCACTGATTTGTTACGAGATGTTCATCGCACACACGCCCTAAGAAAATATGGAGCCCTCATAAATGTTTTTATGAGTAGTTGAACAATAACCCGTATTAGTGTTCTCTCACACACCCCAAAAAAATAAGTAACGTTGAGAGTAGTAAATGCTTTCGTAAAGTATTTGAAAAGTAAACCCGTGCCTGAGCAAACCGACAACAGGATTCCAGAAGTAAAGAGTCATGACAGTTACTTTACGAGAGCATTTACTACCCTCAACGTTACTTATTTTATTGGGGGTGTGAGAGAACAGTAACACGGGTTACTGTTCAATTACTCATAAAAACACTTATAAAAGTTCCATATTTTCTTAGGCGTATGTGAGACGAACATCTCGCAACAAACCAGTGCTCTTTCTCTTCCTTCTCACCAAAAGAAATTGTTTGCTACTCTTATTTCCAGTTTTACACGTCGGCCACTGCTAATAGAGGGTCTGGTTAAACCGGTAGGGATCAAGAAATAGCTATATGGGAAGCATAAATGGAGTACAGATCCACTATTGTCTAACAGAAGCTTTCGGAAAGATGGTGCTGATAAAAGTGGAGGCTTCGAAGGCAGTTGCTATGAAACAATTGTTTGACTCCGCTCAAACATTATCTAATCTTCCATTTATCTTAAGACCCTTGCTTTTCTTTGTATCCTTAGCCGACTCTTACTTTTTCAATGATACATATTCTACGACTTTTATGGATGCTAATGATGTTACGAAAATTCAAATAAAATAATTAAGTCATCTTATAATGTTATAATTTGTAAAATTTACAATTTTACAAAATTTGAATACTTCTTTACTTTTTTCAGGGAATTACTAGAAGCCTTAAATCGTTTACATAAATGTGTTAATGGTGGTCATGGGAATCTAAGTGATCCAAACAATATTGTTGTATGGGAAAGATATATAAAACTCACTGGAATTTTTGCTCGAATTGGTCTCAAAATTGAAATAGAGAAAGATTTTCAAGACCTAGGGCATCTGCTCTATGACCAGTTCATTCACAATCAAACATACCACTCCGGATTGACGAGCATCATCACTCTTCTTCTTAATGAAAGTTCTGGGTAAGTCTGATTTAAGTGTAATTACATTGTACAAGTGTATAACTTAACATAATTTTTCAACTACCACCTAATTGTATATAGGAATATATATTACAAGTACTATGTACATGGTAACACTTGTAGAAAAATGTTGTAAATTTGTACATGGTAATTTTTTTGGTAACACTTGTGAGAGTTTTGTAAATTTAGTGCTTGTAATAAATAGTACATTATATAATTACTTGTGGAAAATTTAGTAAATTAAATAGTAAATTTAGTACTACGTACACGGTAACACTTGTGGAAAAAGTGTTGTAAATTTGTACATGATAATTTTTACATGCTAATTTTTTTGGTAACAATTGTGAAAGTTTTGTAATTTTAGTGCTTGTATTAAATAGTACATTATATAACCCTGGGTCCTTGACTTACTTCCCCAACTCCATAACCATAATAATTACAAAAAATGTTTATCATTCATGCCCTTAGAAAAAACTCCATATTTTGAAAAGGCAAATTGTATCAAAATATCACGTGTTCTCTTCGTACCAAGATAGACCTCATATTTTAGCATAATATATATGCTACTCCTTCCGTCCCATTTTACCTGTCTTACTTTCCTTTTTGAATTGTCCCAAAATAAGTGTCACAAAAAATGGAGTTTTTTCCGTAAGATGGTGTAGTTTTGAAACTTATTTCCCAACGGATCTTCTTTGCGCACCGTAACTATTTCGTAACTTTCTCTTGTATTTCGTACTCTGTTATTTCTTTTATTTACACTAGATTCTCACCCGTGCGATGCACGGAACAAAAGTTAAATGATAATAACTACATTTCATGGTCTGTAATCATTCTTAGTTGATGAGTATTAATATTGCCATGTTTAATACTCTGTAATTTATTGATTACTTGGCATGATTCTTAAAAGATCAATAACATGAAGAGTAGATAGATTTTTTGAACTATATTAAGAGTTATCATAAACACTAAGGGATAAGAGATTAGGGTATAATAAGTTAAACATTTAGGATCTGAAATATATACATTTCTTACCCAACTCTATATTTTTCCCTAACCAACATAGAAATGAACCATAAGAGAAAAGTATTTCATACCCCATATTAATAACAATCTCACTAGAAAAGAAAGAGGTTTATATTACATTGTAAAAAACAATTAGATCAAATCTAAATGTGCATACCAAGTTCTGTGAAGTTAACTGCAAAAGGAAAGGGAGATCAAGAAGGAGCAAACAAAAACTAACCTGACTTTCTCCCCATTTTCTTCATTGGCTGAAATCACTCTTCATTATAAGAAGGCTGATGAAACTCCCCCATCTTGTTCACAAACCTCTGAGAAACTTATTCTTCGTCCGATGCTATCTGCCTTGCCCAGGCCAAATCGCCCCCTGAAATCGGGAGTCTCACGTGAAATTCCCAACATCTGGTGTGAGGAGGTCCTGCGGCTTGGATTGCCGTCCTAGGAATCTGCTTTGGAAGTCAGCTGACTGAAGATTGCCTCCTCGGATCCATTCGACCTGGGGTCGCACATGTGATGGCCTCCTTACAGGCTCCTGCCCGACCTCTTTGGAGGTCCTACCGGATGAAATCGGTGATATGGAGCACTTTTTTTGAATGAAATATATGGAGCACTTGGACATATATTTGCATTATCACTCCGTATGATGGAAAACCAAAGCCAAGTGTCTGACATCTTTTACAGCATTCAAGAAGAGATCCTTTTGCATGCTGGACAACACCATTGCCCAGTACAGTTGCTTAAACTCGTAGATCTAACACGGTCAGTACACAATACAGTGTTGAAATGACAATACCGGTCAATCACATTAAATTAATTTGACCCAAATGTTTACTAGCCGATGCAAAACTTTTTTTCCCAATGATAACGGTTTTTCCCAATGATAACATTTTTGAGCGGGAGTTTGTCCATTATTCCCACGGTGGTTTGTATATAGAAGAATTTTAAGCAATTGGGTTATTACTTGTTACTTCGTATTTTACAGTATTAACTACGTACTACGTATGAATAAGTAACAGTCCTCTTTTTTTGAACACTTCTCTATAAAGTGTATTTATATTTTAATAAAAACTTAGAAATTGATGAATTAACATATCTTTATTTCTGAATCTGTAGCCATTTTTAGAGTTATTTAACTCTATTACCACGTACTTCTTTTGTCTTTTGAAACTAAAAATATACTACATCCGTTCCGTTTAAAGATTTCCATCATAAAATGTCATTGTAATTTAGATAATAATTAAGGTAATTTGATTATGTTTTGACTTTTGAGAAATATTTTTATGCATATGTCATACGAAGTATGTGATATAATGAGGTCATTGATGATAACAGTGATGTATATATTTATTATTTTTAACTTTTGACTAGTGTAGTACCCGTGCGATGCACGGGATCGCATGAGAATAATTATTTTCCATGGATGTAATTTAATGACACCGCGTCTATATTTTAGTTTGATAAAATAAAATGAAAATATTTGAAAACGTATTTGACAAAATCAAATTTTATTAACATGGGTAAAATACACCGTACAACCGGCTATACCGTGCGCACGGTATACCCGGTCTTTTTAAGCTTCTACGTTTCTCACCCTAGCAACGACTTTTCCGATCTTCGTCCCTTCTTATGCGCTTCTCGCACAGGACTTCACACCTGCTTCTTCAATCTCGCGCATCAGGCAGACCGCTCCTCTTGCCGCTCTCTTCTCCTCTACTTCTCCTGATACGCAAGAGGCGGCGACTTTGTGGATTTCTTTGTTGGCGTGTGCTGCGAGAAGAAGGAACGGGGAAGCCAGATGGAAAGAAGATTCAGGAGACTGAGTTCATACTTCTGGCTGACGAATCTGGAATGAGTTTATATTAAACTCAAATGAGTATCAGCTTTAAAAATAATGAACATACACAAAATGAATATTGAGCATATTAAAAATGAGTTTTAAGTTAAACTCAAATGAGTATAAAACCGAAAATGAATGAGCATGCACAAATGAGCTTTTGAATTTTTTCGATACTCATTTTGTAAGTTATGCGTATGCTCATTTGATACCTCTTTATGCTCATTTTTTTAATGTTGCACATTTCAAACGTATCATACTACATTATGTTATACTCAAATGAGCATAACGTTCAAAATGAATGAATATACACAAATGAGATTTTGAATTTTGTGATAGGATACACATTTTGTAATTTATGTATGCTCATTTGGTATTGCTTTTACCTAAATGTTCATTTGAGAGAAACAATGATTTTCATTAAAATTAAAAAATTGCCACCAGCTGTACGTATGATATACACTTCCCATCGGTGGGTAGGTTGGGATGTAGAATTTGAGAAAAAAGCCGAGTTGGGATAAAAGATTCAATGGAAAGTTAATTAGAAATATTTCTATGTCCCTAATTTTATTAGTAGTAGAATAATTAAGTTAGGAAAAAATATGACATGTATGATTAAAAGATTATCTCTTTACAAAAAATGACTAAGATCTTTTTCTTGCTAATTATGGTGTGGTGCTGGTTCCAATGCGACATTGGTTCTATCAACTCGAAATTAAGTTATTTTTCCAATTGATTTTTTCATTGGATTCATTGATTTTCGTGAATAGTGATATTTTTACTCTTTTTGTTATATTTTTTATGTATTTCATTTATAAAATATATGGAGTATTTTTAATTATATATCTTTTTATTTGTTTTTCAAATTCAAGCGTTTTTCACCAGTTGTTAATTTATAAAATATACGGTGTTGTTAAAATTTCACCAGTTGTAATATATTCAACTGACTCAATCAGTATCAATACACTATCAAATGGACTCTCAACCACCTGCTAGTCTGCTACCGCCCCACGCAATAAAATCAATGTGATTAAATATCCAATTTTTAATACAAAGTATTCATTTCCATACCTCTTCAATTCATATTCTCTATTAAGTACAAATTTTTTCAAGTGATTTATAAGTGACATTTTCTTTCAACATTACTAACCGAGATTTTTTTGTCAATTTAGATTCTGAAAAATAAGTCACTAAGTGTAAAAGATTCAAAAGATAAAATGCATCAATATATAGAGTGAGCAAATGAATAAAAATTACTAAGTCTTGTTGAAATGATCTCATTTTTATTTTTTTCAGGAAAATCATAAAAATTATCTCATATCAAAGTTGATAAAATTTGTATAGCTCGAAATCATATTTACTTTCAATTTCAATTAATATCAGCCACATAAATTACTTTTTTTTAAATGTGTCACCCCTCATATCCCAATATTAGTGGAATGAAAGTCATATCAAACTAAGATTTTAAGTATCATGAAATTCAGTGTTCTTAATTTAAAACATTTTAGATTATTAAAAATCATTACAATATAATCCTTTATTAAAAAACTAATACTACCTCCGTCTCTTTTTATTTAGCCATCTTTGACTTTTCCAGTCAAAGGTGGTAAACTTTGATCCATTGTTTTAACTAATATATTTATATGAAACTTAATAATTTTATACTTTTATGATAGTATTTTTAACTAAGAACATTTTCATATAATTTTCTTATTATCAATATTACCATGTATAAATATATAATTGGTCAAAGTTAAACAACTTTGACTTGAAAAAAAATGTTTGGCTAAATAAAAATGGAAGGAGGGAGTAGAACTTTTGAAAAAAATATAAATAATTAGAATTGGAATAATTAAATAAATCAAAGTTAATGATATTTTAAGTTGATTACAATTATTTGATCGAGCATGGATAAACTTTATCTTAGAAATATTTTATTGATGGTGAAGTTGTCATTCGAATTGTGGAGTAAAATTACAAATACCAGGTAAGCTACCTAGTGGAACACATGTAACTCCAAATTAAAAAATCAAAAAATTTAAACTTGTGAACTCTTAATGCACCAAACCCCCCTGTGATTTGGAAATTCGGCGCATTAGCCCCCTGTGATTTAAAAAATGCGTCAAACCCCCCTGTGTTTTAATTAATCATGCACAGAACCCCATTTATGAATAAATTTAACGATTTGAAAATCACTTTTCCTAATATTTTGATTGAATATGCAAATAAATATGTCAAAATCTCTGAATCATACAAAAATGTTAATCATTTTTCTTTTATTTTACAATTGAATTTGTTCACATAAGGGATTTGGCGCATGATTAATTAAAACACAGGGGGGTTTGACGCATTTTTTAAATCACAGGGGGCTAATGCGCCGAATTTCCAAATCACAGGGGGGTTTGGTGCAATAAACCCCCATCCCTTCTCCCCACGCAAGGTCTCAACTCTCAAGCTCGTACCCCTTTTCTTTTTCCGGACACTTCTCCCACCTTCACAAAGCAATTTAGCCAATTAAGTTCTTGCCCCCAGCAATGCAATTACTTAAAGGTCGGTACGTATTACCCCACCCTAATGATTCACAATAGCTCTTTAATTTCTTCCTTCCATCGATGACATCTCATCTAAACCGGACGAATGCTTGGCAATTTTGATTTTGATTGTTACCTACACAAACCATTATGTACTTCCATTCTTCGATTTTTTTTTATCTGCTATATGAAGCATGCCAAGTCAAATTTACAGATAGGTCCGTATGAGAGAGAACAAAATGAGACAGGTAATTCATAAATTAATAATGTTTCTTTTTGTTTTCTTTTAAATAGATGTACAAATTTTACTATTGGTTCATTTGCATGCATCACCAGATCTATTTAAATACCCTTAAATCAGATCCTAAATTGACAAAAGTTAGTATATTTATTTTCAAAAAAATTTAGCTTCGTATATTTGAAAACAATTTTTATCCAGTTATTTTTATCCTTATTTTCATAAAACTGTTTTGGTTTTCATCCTTGGTATACGTAATTTTCGTTATTTTTCATTAAAAAAAAACGTGTCACCCCTCAAATGCAAAAAAAAATCCTTATTTTCATAAAACTTTAATTGCATGTATTCTTGCATACAATCTTGCACATAATTACAGTTTTTTTAAAGTCATCTAAATAATTTAGTACTTGTGATTTCAAATGGAAATAGAAATGACAAAACTTCATCAAAATTGTAAAAACCAACGTATGTGATGCTTCAAAATAGACAAATGTTGGATTAGAAGAGAGTATCAATTAATAGCCTAATAATAAATTAGGTAATAGCCTAATGTTAATTTAGGAATAATTTGTATTCTTGGAAACTCTTGTTATTATAAATATATCTGCCAGGTACCCAATTGGGTAACCTTTCCCATTCTTTCACATGGTATCAAGAGCCTAATTTTTTTTTCCTCTCTCTCTTCAAACCCTCGGTCCATGTCTTCCGAGGCGCTACACACTTCCGCCGCGTCGCACACCTCTGTTGCGGCCATGGTCAGCTCTGCAGTATCCTCTTTCTCTTCATCGACCACGGCGCCGGTCTCTTCTGCCTTCACCGCCGCAGCCGTGACCAACACCAGCGCCGCCGTCTCCTTGACCGCGCCGCCGCAGGTGTCATCTTCTCAGACAGAACCATTGTTGCAGCAAGTTTCTTCTCCGAATGTTGCAGAATTTCCGGGTACCTATTCCTTGTTCCAGAACATCCCTCCGTTGTTCCCATGGCAGCCACCTGCTGTCTCCAATATTCCAGGCATCTTCTCGACCCCGACGCCTACTGTTACGCCACAGCCACACTCCAGCCTGGGGTATTTCGGCTCCACATTCTCCGGTACACCTGGACTGTCTCGGCCGGCAGAACAGTCCCTCTTCCAGTCTCCGATGGCCGCGATTGCTCAATCTATTTCTCCGGCCAACAATGTTACTCAAATTGTTACAATCAAGCTTAAAGAGGTGGAAGACTACATCACATGGCGCACTCAGTTTGAATCGTTCCTAGTCTCTCAAGGTGTGTTTAATTTCTTGGACGGTTCCACACCGGTACCTCCGATGTACACGGTTGATTTTAATAATCGCCAAATAATTAATCCTGACTATCATCATTGGTTACGGGTTGATCAAACCATTCGTTCTTGGATATTTGCTACCCTTACCCGTGATGTTTTAATTGATGTACATGAACTTAAACATTCCTTTGAGATCTGGGAACGACTACAAAATAGATTCCGGTCTGCTAGTCTGGCTAGATCTATGACACTTAGGCGTCTATTATCTAATATGAAAAAGAAAGAAAATCAGTCTATGGAAGCTTACTTAAGGGAAATTCATTTATTAGTTGGAGAATTGGCTGCTATAAATTCTCCTGTGTCCCATAAAGAAGTTCTTCAGACCACACTTATGGGGCTCGGGCCAGAATATGAATCCACCATGGGTACTATTTCCCTATTTCCTGACAATTTTCCACCAGACATTCTACATCGGAGCCTGTTAGAGGCCGAACAACGAGTGCTTTATCTTCGCCAACAGACCGCTCCACCTGCTTACCAGGCATTCGGTGTACAAGAACGAGGCAATGCATCGCGTGGGGGCCGCGGTGGCCGCGGCAGAGGAGGTCGCGGCAGAACTGGGCGCGGCAGAGGCCGCGGAAATTATCAGTATGGCCAGCAGCCCTACTACGGGCAGGGGCAGCAGCCTCTCAGCCAAGGGCAGCAGGTGGGGTCGCAACCGGGGCAGCTTCATCATCCGCCGGGGTCCGGTCAGCCCCATGGAGCGCAGCAGCAACTGAGACCACCAACTGTTTTGTCCACTTTAAATACGAATGCTATATTATTTTGTGGTCCTAATGTCAAGTCTGCAGGCTCTCCATCCGCTGAGGGAATTCTTGGGGCAATTCCCCCGCCTGTTGTCTGTCAAATATGTTTCTCTGCAGGTCATTCTGCCCTCCATTGTCCTTCCCGATTTTCTCAACCATCTGCTCCTGCACTTCTAACCGGTCCAGCTAATGAAGCCCTGTGGTATCCAGACACTGGTGCCTCTGCTCACATGACGCCCTCTGAAGGTATTTTGACAAATAAATCTACTTATACTGGTCCAACTATTGTTAGTGTTGCTAATGGTGCTAATCTTCCTATAAAACATGTTGGTGATATTTCTTTAACTTCCTCTGGCCGCCCACTGCTGTTGAAATCTGTTTATCATGTGGCTAATATTAAATTTAATTTAATTTCAATTCAAAAATTGTGTGCCGATAAAAACTGTGTTGCTATTTTTGACAAAAATTCATTTTTTGTTAAGGACAAAATTTCGGGGGCGGTTCTTCTTCGGGCAACAACTAATGGTCATCTCTATCCTCTCAGCCTGAGTCCACCATCTACTCAAGCATTATCTTCAGTCCTCACCACTGGCCCTGTGTGGCATCGTAGATTAGGTCACTGTGGTGAAAACATTTTACGTACTTTAAGCACTCAAAAACGCATATGTAATAGCTCTAGTTTTTCTCATGACTGTATTTCTTGCCGGTTAGGCAAGTCTCAACGATTACCTTTTTCAGATGCTAATCATACTACTTCTTCTCCTTTGCAATTAATTCATTCTGATGTGTGGCAGTCTCCAGTTCTTTCTAATTTGGGATTTAAATACTACGTATGTTTTATTGATGATTTTTCGCGTTTCACGTGGATTTACCCATTGCGTGCTAAAACCGAGGTGTTTGACCAATTTAAAATTTTTAAGACTTTAGTTGAAAATCTCTTCAACTCTAGAATTAAAAATTTTCAAAGTGATGGAGGGGGTGAATTTGTTAATTCTACTATGCAGCAATTTTTTAATTCTCATGGAATTTATTTTCAAAAATCATGTCCTCACACTCCTCAACAAAATGGGGTTGTTGAGCGTAAACATCGTCATCTACTTGAACTTACTAGGACAATGTTGATTGAGGCTTCTCTCCCTAGTTGTTTCTGGGTAGATGCTATTTTTACGGCTGCATATATTATTAATAGATTACCTACTCCAACACTTTCTGGTTTATCTCCATATGAAAAATTATTTCAAAAACCTCCTGATTATACCTTTTTACGTGTTTTTGGATGCGCTTGCTTTCCAAATATTTCTGCCACTTCTTCAAATAAACTTTCTCCTAGGTCCGTTCAATGTGTTTTTCTGGGTTATGCATCTGGTTATAAAGGTTATCGTTGTCTTAATCCTACCACCGGCAAAATTTACATTAGTCGTCATGTGCGTTTTCATAAAAATGTTTTTCCGTTCACCACTTTGATCTCCTCTGCATCCACCTCCTCTTCCTCGGATCACCCGACCTCACCAGAACTACCATTCTCTTCCTGGAACAATTTCTCTTTTAGCCCACATCTTACCTCTCGGCCATCCATGTCTCTGGAACACACCGAGACACGCAGCCCACATCTACCAGTCCACCATACTAGTTCAGCCACCTCACCTCTTATGTCAGAAAAATCAGCCTGTCACATCACACCTCCCACTCCAATTCCCTTATTCCTTGACTCAGCCCAGCCTTCCACGCCACTCAGCACCCAGAACAGCGCCCAAACACCCTCTTCCAGTCCACCAGTAGCTTCCAATTTCCCGTCAACCATCAGCCCTCCTTCTCCGGTCCACAATCCAGTCAGCTTACCACCTTCCACTCCCCCAATTTCGACCACCAACCACGACCTCGACATAGTGCCCGAACCGCCACCTATTTCTATTGCTAATGTCCACCCGATGCAAACTCGGGCAAAATCTGGAATTTTTAAACCAAAACCCGTTTTTAATTTAAACACGGTTGTTATTTCACCAGACCCCACTTGCTTTTCTGCGGCAAATAAACAGTTGATATGGCGTCAGGCTATGGCTGAGGAATTTAATGCACTTATTGCTAACCACACTTGGGACTTGGTGCCGTTTGATAACTCTAAAAGTATTGTTGGATCTAAGTGGATTTATAAGACAAAATATTTATCTGATGGTTCCATTGAGCGCCACAAAGCACGTTTAGTTGCTCAGGGTTTTAACCAGCAGGCTGGTGTAGATTTTTCTGAAACTTTTAGTCCTGTCATTAAACCCACCACTGTTCGTACTGTTCTTACCTTAGCGATTTCTTTTGGGTGGGTTATGCGTCAGCTGGATGTTAAAAATGCTTTTCTTCATGGTCATTTAACAGAAGAGGTTTATATGCGTCAGCCGCGGGGTTTCATTCACCCTCAGTATCCTCATCATCTATGTCGTTTGCGTAAGGCTATTTATGGTCTTAAACAGGCCCCGCGAGCATGGTTTCATAGGTTCAGTAGTTTTCTCCTTTCTCATAATTTTTTATGTAGTAAGTCGGATAACTCTCTATTCATTTATCGTCAGGGTCCTTCATTTATTTATTTATTTATTATTATATGTGGATGACATTATTATTACTGGTAATTCCTCTTCTGTTGTCACTGAGTTTATTCATCTTATTGCTCGACATTTTGCAATGAAAGACTTGGGTGATCTTCATTATTTTCTTGGCATTCAGGCCACTCGTCATAGTAAAGGTCTATTCCTCTCTCAGCATAAATATGTCTCTGACCTCTTATCCCGATTTCACTTACACACTATAAAGCCTGTTCGCACTCCTCTTGCGTCTCGTACTTCTTTATCACTCACTGATGGCGAGTTACTTGCAGATGCGACTGAATATCGCAGCATGGTAGGTGCATTACAGTATTTAACTTTGACAAGACCTGATATTACTTATGCAGTGCATTTAGTCTCTCAGTTTATGCATGCCCCACGCACCACTCACCTTTTTGCTGTCAAGAGGATTTTTAGATATTTGCAGGGTACCATTGATCATGGTCTGTGGCTTCAGCCCACACAAAAGGCGACTTGCATTATAGCATACTCGGATGCATATTGGGCTGGGTGTCCTGACACGTCTCGGTCCACCACGGGTTATGCTGTTTTTCTAGGACCCAATCTCGTGTCTTGGAAATCCAAGAAGCAGCCTACTGTCTCCAAATCCTCTACAGAAGCGGAGTATCGTGCTATTGCTTACACGGTGCAGGACACACTTCATATTCGGTCCATTCTGTTCGAGCTTGGATTTCCAATCACGGCCCCAGTTCGTCTGTTCTGCGACAACATCTCTGCTTTCTACTTGACAGCGAATCCTGTTCAGCATGCTCGGAGCAAGCATATTCAGATTGACTATCACTTTGTTCGTGAACGCGTGGCTCATGGTGATCTTGTCGTTAAATATGTGCCTACTAGTCTTCAACTGGCTGATATATTTACTAAGAGTCTCTCTAGTCAGCAATTTCATTTTTTAAAAGACAACCTGCGCGTTGTATCTCCCGCACAGTTTGAGAGGGTGTAATAGCCTAATAATAAATTAGGCAATAGCCTAATGTTAATTTAGGAATAATTTGTATTCTTGGAAACTCTTGTTATTATAAATATATCTGCCAGGTACCCAATTGGGTAACCTTTCCCATTCTTTCACATCAATTACCTCTTAGTTTGTTGGATGATCCATTTCTAGAGAATTGCCGATAAGATCACTCGCTTCAGGGGCGGAACCAGGCCGGGGCGAGCCAGTGCTGGCGCCACCCCTTCGCTGGAAATGTTCTCGTATTATTTTCATACCGCCCCTAGTCTTCTTCCAGACTTCCACCTTGTTCCACGTTTTCCATGGCCGGCTACTGCTACAATGTTCTTGCTCTGTTTCAGATCTCTTTAAGCCGCTTATGTTTTTATTTTTTAACTTAACAAAACGGCGCCGTTAGATGAAGTGGTACAAATAAAAGCGAAACGACGTCGCAGACCTTTATGCTTATAAGCTTTTAGTAGAACGAAAGGTTAAAATTTAAAACCCGGTTCACGATCAACTAAGCAAGCGATTGAAACTCTTGGAGTTTGAGACAATTTTAGTAATACTTGTATTGAGCGTCTGTAAAAAAAAAGCTTGTTTACTCGTTGAATTTGTCTTGTATAAAAATCGATTTATTAATACAGTATGTACGTAGCTAGTATAATTTTAAAAAGCAATTTACACTTTTTTAGGTTGACGCGATGCAGTAGGTTGTATAATTTTTAATTTGTTTTAATTTGTGCCTTGTTTACTCAATTATTTGTTTAATTGCTTGTTATAGTTCTTCTATTTCCTTGTTTCAAACTTTTAGATTTTTAATAATTTATATTTTACTTGTTCACTCCTTTAAATGGTGCAAGTAGTTTAAATAATTTCAGAAAATAGAAATGGCTAATATGTAATTGTTAGGATATGTTTTATTTGTTTTAGATTTTAATGTGTATGTGATTCATCTTCTAACAATTTATGATTTTAAAATCTTGAAATTGTTATGTAATATCTATCTATATCACAATTTGTAATGCAAGTTGTGGGTATTCTAAACGAGCTAACGAAAAGAGTAATAGGGAATAACATTTTCATGTGGAATGTAATCCAAATGATGTTGTAGATCTAGAGTTGTGTAAAGGGAAAAGGTACAAATATACCCATGTAGTATGGGTGTGGGAACAGGTATACCCCTGTTCTATTTTTCGGAACAAATATACCCCTGAACTTTTAAAAAGGTGCAAAAATATCCCTCATGTTCTTATAAAGGGGCAAATTAATCCTTATTAACTTTAAATTAATAAAATAAATTTCAAAAACACCAAATATAAATTATAAATTCGAAATTTTAAAAAAAATTAAAAATGTAATTGTGTCCATTTCTCCCTTTATTGTTTTTATATCACAATTTAATATTGTTTAAGCATGAAATATTATTTCAAAATTTTTACTATATGTTTAAGATTCTTTCGAAAAGGTGCAACATATGTTTTGCAATGTAGAGAAAAATTAATTTTTTGCATTCTTTGCACTATAAAATTACATATTTTGAAATAATATTTTATACTTAAAATATTAAATTGTGATATAAAAACAATAAAGGGAGAAATGGACACAATTACATTTTTAAAATTTTTATTTTTAAATTTTGATTTGTTAACTTATTTGTGGTCTTTTTTTGAAATTTATTTGATTAATTTAAAGTTAATAAGAATTAAATTGCTCCTTTATAAAAAATGAGGGATATTTTTGCACCTTTTTAAAAATTCAGGGGTATATTTGTTTCGAAAAATAGAACAGGGGTATATTTGTTCCTCCACCTATACTACAGGGGTATATATGTACCTTTTCCCTTGTGTAAACTTACTTTTTCCTTTGATCCTTGCATTAGAAACCAAGTACAAGAGAGTATATAATTAGATCTCTTTCTAGACTTCTTTATCATTTTTACCCTAAAAATAAAATAATATAATAAAAATAATACTCCTACGTCCCTTAAAATTTGTTAACTTTCTTTTTTTGGTTGTTCCTCTAATTTTGTCACTTTCTCTTTTATAGAAAAAATTTGTGATTTCAGTTAATTCTCTCTTTTATGCACAAAACTCAACCAAACAGTTTTTACTTTATTAGTTCTCGAACTGATCAAAATTGACCAAATTTTTAAGGGAATGAGGGAGTAGATGTTTTAAATCCTCTTCATTTTGACATACTTTTCAGCCTCCCTTCAAAAACTGTTCTGGTTCCGCCTCTGACTCGCTTGTCGTCTTTATTTCACACTATGGCGCTACTTCTTTTCACCGCCAATAATTTCTTTTTCACTTCTGGAGAGTTGCCATTAAGATCATTCAACAAATGCTTTTCTTAAACATGGTAAATATTGTACGCATCCTGCAATTTCAAATACATTTTTAATTACAACATCCAAGTCCTAGTTAACCATAAAAATCTATACACCGACAAAATTATATACTCCGGACTATTCTGCATGCATAAAACCAACAATAGACCAATCATTCATTTTCTCATCGCCACACACTTTGTTGGGCGGGTTAGTTTTGTATTCATAGTGATATATGTATATATACTGCGGAAACACACAGGAGATTGCCCTCGCATATGATTCATAGTGATGTGTGTATATATACTGCAGAAACAACTTGGAAATTTCAAATGGCACCTCGAAGTCTCGAACAAAGCAAAGCTTTTAATTAATATCCTGCCTTTTTATTGTAAAAGATTATTAATGTTGACTCGGAAACTACCCTACATTAATTGTACAACACGTTGGAAATACTAAAAGACAGAGAATATTCTAGCATCAACTCATCGTTCTCCAAAAGAACAATCACGCTTACGGCAAACCTTTTCACCACTTCCGGCTCAAAATCCTACTCCACTGTTCCGTTTTAATATATAACTAGTATTATACGCGTGCGATGCACGGGAAGTGTAATTCTCATATCAAAAGCAAGTTTCTGAATAATATGAATAATACATGTAATTTAATTTTAGTACATGAGAACTCAAAATTCGTAATATAGTAATACGAATTTCAAAAAACATCCTTCAATACAACATTGGACGTTATGGTTGTATTTTTTCCATATGTCACATATAAATATCATCAAACCACCGTCATACCGATTATTTTACGAAAAAATATTTATTTACGATGTCATGAAAATTTATTTCATGTAAAATACTCTGCAGTAAACTTTTTTTTAAAATCTTTTTAGTACTTGACATGTCTAGAGAACAAAATCCCACAACCCAAACTCGACCCAAAACCTAAGTATAAAATACTTTCCCGAGCCCTAATCTCATCTATGCTGAATTGGCATAGCCTTCTCAACCTTCTCATCCCCAATGATCGGCAAGCATCATCACATTCATGGTTTGTCTCTCAGCCTTTTCGCCCTTACAAATCACATGTAAGAACTTTCGTCCTCTCTGATCATTGGTTACGACACTCGCACAAATCATAACAATGATTAATATATGTGGTACCAATCAGTAAATTACTTTGAAATTGATATTTTTAAAATAGAAGCTTTTTAAAAACAAAATAGAAACTAAATATTGTTATGTTTATTAAAATAATCAAGAATACCATATGCTGATTATTAAAACAATTACATTCACAGTATTGGTCTATAAAAAATACCTTAAAAAAACCGTTGTTTTGTTTAACTGTGGAAAAAATATAACATGTGTGATTAAAATATAACCTCTTTAAAATTTGATTAAAGATGTTTTTCATAGGACTAATTTTTTATATATGATATCATTTGATATGGTAAATATCTATTCTATGTGAATTTATTATTGACTAAGTCTGATCAGGTCCAATATACTATGATTTGGTTTGATCAAATTCGAGAATGAGACTGAAATCAGTCTACTATAATCCATAAAGAACTACGTAGTATTAGGCTATCTCATGAGACTTTTTTTATATGGAGTATACTTTTCAGCTAGATTTATAATTATCCTCATTATAGCTCCCACATTATTAATTGAAAATGCATATTATTTCAAACTGACTATTTTATTTTAATATAGCTAGAAGTATATAAAATCTTATATAAGCTTTAAATTATAAAAAAAGGTTCTTGGTCCATTTTTTTACAATATTAAATTGTGATAGTAAATCAATATTCTCAAACCTTATTTTTATCCAACTCTAGGCGAAAATCTAAAATAGGCTCTTACACATTCGTAAAAAGGAAAAAGGAAAAAGAAACGCTCATATACTTCCATCCTTTTACCCCCAATTACTCTCCTTTTTCCATGTGCACAATATACCCCTTGTTTGCCCAACACACTTCTTCCACGTTCACGAAGCAGACAAACCACCATTGTCTCTCAGAGGTGCGCTTCGGTCAACTGCACCCTTCACCAGTCAGCTGCACCCTTCTAATTAGTATCTCTATTCTGTCCTTTCTTTAATCTGACTAATTTCTAATAATCTTGATCTTTTACAAACAACTTAATTTTTTTGTCGTACAGACAAAAAAACTTAATTTAAATAGACATGTGTAAAAAAAATTCGTTCTTCAATACCCATAGTAGAAATAGAATTACAAAACTCGGCCCGAGTGGTAGCAAGGGTGGAGCCGCTGGCCAAAAAAATAAAGGGAATTTATCACAAATAGACCAAAAGGATAAAAATATATCACGTTTTTCACTTTTGTAGTTTCTTTTCAAAAATAGACTAGTTAAAAATATCTTTTCACAAATAGCTCAATCTCTATAAAGCACCCGTACGAAGCACTGGAATGCCTTCTCCTAATTAATGCACTGTTCAACTACGGTCTTAATCGCGACACCTTTATTCATAATCCAAAACAATGCCCTTAGTTTTTATCCATTATGAAAGGATGTAAACTACTCCGTATAAAATAAAACTTTTAAAAAATGAAAATATACAACGTACAAAATAAGGATACTTTTATAAATTGAAAATCTAAGATCCTAAAAATTACAAAGAGATAAAAAGTTTAATGAAAAAATTTTAATAATTCCAAATAATTACATAAAAATTTAAAAAATTACAAGTATCGGAAATTATTAATAGAGAAAGAAATAAAAAAAGTCTATAAATTAATTAAAAAATCACATAAAAATGTAAAT